TTTAGCATACACAGATGGCCTAGAATTTTTACTCTTGAACTGTGAAAAAATCAGGTCTCTATATTGTTCCTATCAAAATTTATTCAAAAACCAATCAGATTCATTTATTTTTGAATACAAGAAATGAACAATAAGCAACACGAAATTCACAGTTACACATCGTAAATACACTTCTACTTAATTATTAATGTTTACAATTAGAAATTCAATGCAATCGAACCGTAAAAATAAACAGCTTAATTTTTTGCATTATATACAGTGGGTTCAAAAATTATTTAACAAGTTGTAATTTGGATTCTTTTTTTCGTAGCCTTAAATGCTACAAAGAATCCAAATAGTAATTTGAATAGAGAATATTGTTGCCAACAAGAATCCGAAAAAATGATAATCGTTATGAATTTTCCCAAATTAGAGTTTCTGGAAAACCCGAATTCTAGTTTTTCAACATTCAGAAGCTGCAACAGAAAACTTGTTTTAACAATCTAAAATTATAGAGCAGCTGATTCTCTATAAAATGAGACGTCTTCGAACTTTCTACGATCTTCCATTCAAAATTTATAAGCATCACAAAAATCGAAAAAAAGTGAAGTTTATGAGAAAATCGAGTAAAAAAAAATCGCATTTTTTCGATTTTTGTGATGCTTATAAATTTTGAATGGAAGATCGTAGAAAGCTCGGAGACGTCTCATTTTATAGAGAATTGGCTGCTCTATAATTCTAGATTGTTAAAACAAGTTTTCTGTTGCAGCTTCTGGATGTCGAAAAACTAGAGTTTGGGTTTTCCAGAAACCCTAATTTGAGAAAATTCATGACGGTTATCATTTTCTCGGATTCTCATTGGCAACAATATTCTCTATTCAAATCACTATTTGGATTCTTTCTAGCACTTAAGGCTATGTAAAAAAATCCAAATTACACCTTGTTGAATAATTTTGAGACCCACTATATAGAACGTATCTGATAACTTTTGTATTTTCTGTGTTATTCATTATTAAATATAATTATGAATTATTGTAATTGATAGTATTAGGGTCGAACTGAGAAACTATCAAATGGAGCCGATTTGTAATCGAATTGAGGGTAAACAAAAAAGACATATGAGGATCGATCAATAGGATTAGATATTAGAATATTGAAAAATAAAATATCATCATTTGATATTGTTGAAACAATCAATCTATATTTATTCCATGGAAAATTTAGAAATTTAATTGCGAATTTTGAAAATCTTGTTTTTTATTTCTCTCAAAGTTCTATTTGTAATTTCATTTCTATTAATATTTTAATCAGAATATATATATCGATTCAACTGTCCTATAATATATTCTCAAGAGTCTTATTGAAATTATGAATCGATAGATCTAGTTCAATCTTTTTCTTTTTTTGTCTTTGTAAATATCTTATCATAATCCATCGCAATTTATAATCTAAGAACAAAATGGTTTTTCATCTCATAGTTTATTTTAAAAAATTTATTTATTTATTTTCTCTAGGTCTTGGTCTTGAACTACTCAAGGAAACAATATGTATGTGTTGTCCAAATGTTGTCATTCAATTAGAAGATAGTATAATTTCATCTCAAGATCGAAAAAAAATGCCTGATTTGACACTTGAATGGTTATTACAACAACCGGTTTTCGAACCATATCGAGTAAGATTGAAGTTAAAAATTTTGTCTCTATGATTATTTTTTGAATATATTCCAGTGTCAAATACAAATGAATAATAAACGACAACAAGATTATGATGGACAATTAAATTATGAATATATCAAAGTAAAATCAGCAGCAGCATCAAATCGAATTGATAGGTAAAAAGAATTGTTATTAATTTCTTGAAAGAAAAAAATCTAGAAACTGTTTTTTTTAGCAATACACCAAAATTACGTCCACGTGATCATCGTCTTCTTGCGACTTGGTCTTATTTTTTCTTTTCATCAAATCTTTCACATATTCATTTATCATGGTCACAACTTGTTCATGTATCTCTACTTGATAATATGAATAAAAATTCGATTGTAATACCTGATAGTCTTGAACATTCGATTGTTGCATTGTGTTCAAGTGAAAAAATTGATCAAGTAAAATAAAATTTATTTTTACTAAATAGTAGCAACTTATATTTATCGAATTTTAGTTACGAAATTCAGCAGTTTCTATTAATGAAACATTTCAGTTATTGAATTATCAAGATGAATTCTTTGAATGTTTGGGTTTTGGTAAGACAAAAAAAAAACTTCTTTTTTTCTCTCACTTTCTATATTTTACTTTACTTTCAAGGTTGGATAGAACATTGTAATAAGAAAACACAAACTTATGAAATTTATACTCCGGTTAATTGTCTTTCCAATATTAACCTTCTTGTTTACGGTGCATTTGATACACCTGATGAATTTCAATATATGTTCAGTAGTGTAAAACTAAAATAAATATCTTGTTTTTTGTGATATGAAAACAATGACTATTTTTATGACCTTCACTATGATTTTGTAATTTATGCATTGTTAGGCATTGAATTTCTTGATAAATTTTCATATTAGATAATATAATATTTTGAATTCTTTATGACTAAAATGCATTATAATGATCGTATTGTAGGTTACACAGTGGGTAAGACATAGATAGAATCGGTTCCGATTACCAGTTGGTCGGATACAGATTTCATACTAGTCATGAAAAATCCAGATTGATGCCACCATTGATCTAAGAAACGGCTGAGAGTCGCCATCAATATCGATATTTTTGAGAGTGTCGATGAACGTTGTATAATGCATTTTCATTTTATTGATAATAAGTAAGTGAATCAAAACAATAAATATAAAATCCATGTTTTATTCTTATTTAGTTATTGTATATTTTCTTCTTGTTAAAGTGACCAGTATCTATTTTTATGTTTGCGATATTTTTATTTCCTGTAATAAATGATAATAAATACAAGTGCAACTCTTAACATGATTGAAAACTACAATGAAAACTCTTCTCCTATATAAGTTCTATGATACTTTGTAAATCGAAAATTTTTCTCTAGAAGCCTAGTGTAGTGCTGTGGTAAATCGTCTCTTATTACTTTCCAAAGGAAGTACCAATATGTAAAGCTGATCTAAAAGTTAAATCTGCAATAGGTAGCCATCAAATTCAATTCAATCATACAAACAAATAACAAAACTGGAAAACTCAGATGGACGAATCTGATCGAACCTCGTGAGACCTGATCATTCAACAGCCAGATTTCAATTGTCGGAACCGATAGAAATTTCTATCTTTGGTTGCCAATAAATTTTCTATAGGTTTCCACAAAAATTTTTGAATCATGAACGAATCCTGTATGTTCTGAAAAAAATTCATCATTCAAACTTTATTGGACTGCAGCTGAAAATATATATGGACTCTGTTTATTGAAATGAAGCGTATTTCTGACAGACTTTCAATGAAATCATAAAGTGTGATTAGGCATAGTTACATTGTAGTAACTGTTTATAACAGTCAAATATCACCTCAGAGTGAGAAGTACGAATTTGCAGTACATATATTGATAAAAATTTTTGAATTAGGATATTTCAGATAGGAGACGCTTATTTTGAAAATTTGAGTAAAAATTTTCGGAAGTGAGGAATCCGTAGTGACTAGCCGTTTCCGGTAACCATAGAGTTAGGATTTTCGACGCGAAAAGTTAATATTAAATTGTTCTGTGTTCAGAATGAGTCTTCATGATTCACAAAACAGACTCGAAGATTTCTCGAAATGTAGTCAATTGCAATTTGTCAACTTCAAATACCTTTGAGAATTATTAGTAAAGTTGACACAAAAAATGATACTTAGCTCACTTTTCGTGATTCACCAAAACAGATATTGTTTAAATACAGGTTACGTCAAGAAAATATTGAAATCAGATTTTCTGATGATTTGCCCGAATTGAAAAATATGTATTGATGGTTCCTTCCGAAGTTATTTTAAAGTGAGCATAAGCTGATACTTTTGCGAACTTTTCATTTTTCTAATTAAACAGAAATTGTTTTAATATAGTTTATGTCTAGCACAAAACCAAGTTGCACTTTCTAATGATTTGACGTAGCTAGAAATATGCGCTGATCTCTCCACTCAAAAAAAAAAAGAAACTTCATTAATACAACTTTTATCCACAAAGGATCTATATCAATACATTTCCTTATTTTTCACTTTTAACATAAGAAGGAAACTTTTTTCAGTACGAACTGTATCTACAACAAAACCAAATCTCTGATAGTGACGTTTTTCAACACTAAATACAGGATTGTTCATGTAAGGAAAGTGCCATCACAAACTCTTTCAAAATGCACGCTTGTCATAATTTTTTCAAGATCTTTTCAAAGAACTGTAACTTCAACAGATATTTTCGACAGAAAAAAATAAGCAAAATTATATTTAGTTTTCCAAAAGAAAACAGAGTTTAATAAAAACAAAAAAAAAACGGATGATTTTTCAGTTATCTTTGACGTAACGCATCCATTTGAATTGTATCTCAACGTTGTAAAGCGTAAATATTTAATTGAAAGAAAACATTCATACAGAACACTCAAACTTGTCTTAGCGGTACAATATGGTTCGTGTCTTCATAATAGACAAGTCATATATATTGAATTTATTTTCTTGTAAAATTGTAATCATGGCGATGAAGACATCAATAAAAACGTCATAATTGCTGCAAAGTTTTTCTTGACGATGATAACCATTGAGCGACATAGAACCATAGTGGTGTTCTAGTATAGTTTTTTTGTCTTTGTTATAAGTATTTAACACAATGTCACGTTTTAAATTTTGAGTCTATATTAATCAATGAAGTAGACCATTCACTTGTTAGAAGGAATGAATAAATCAGATAAAGAAAGTTAACATCGAGAATATTAAAAAAGCAATCATAAATATCCAATTTCTTGGAACTAACTACGAAAAAAAATCATATTCTTGAATGCAAATTATATTATGCATAACCAAACATTAATTTCATCATAATATAATGTCAATTCACTGTTTGAAATTGTCAATCGAAGGAATTTTCTCGATAACACCACGAACAAAATCACTTTCATCATTTGACGGTGTTTGAAGTACGTTACAAATGAAAGATTTATTTAGAATGTCGATGTAAGAGTGTGGTCGCTCTTGACTATTTCTTTTCAGTCTAAAAAAGTGAACATCATCATAGAGCGATGATTCAAGAAGAACTACTTACAAATGCAGAATAAGTTGTTGTATTTCATAAGAGACTGTCATCGGAACTATAGGTTCCCAATTTAAAATTTTGAACGGTATTTCATTTGGTATCCAATCGGTAAACGGATGTTGACCACTGACAATTTCCAGTGAACTAATGCCCAATGCCCACATATCATCATGAATGGCATCAGGTTCGGGATCTGGTGGTAAGTATTCAAAAGTGCCTTCAACAGTGCGGAAGTCTAATTTTTCAGTCAAATCACCACAAATACCAAAATCACACAGTTTAACTACAGCATTCTTGTTGATAAGCATATTCGCAGGTTTGACATCTCGATGAATAATTTGTTTAGTTTCCAAAATATAAAGTGCAGAAGCAATCTATATAGAAAAACATTAGAAACTATAAATTAATAACAATAGTCTTACATCATGAATAATACGATGCATCAAAGGATCAAGTTTGTTAATGGCAATTTCATCAAGTGGATGCATAGCTTGGTAGAATTTCTTTATTGATGTATCCATCCACTCTATGCAGATACACAGCTGATTGGAAACCTACGAAGATGATATAGTATAGCATAAAAGCTAGACAGATAGAAGAAATCGGTACATACGGGATCGATCACTGCGCAATAATAATTGACGATATAAGGCGTGCTTCCAGATCCAATCTTTTTCATCATTGCTAATTCAGTATCCGCTGATGAGCGTCCATTTTCGTCTATTCGACGTAGAATACGCTACAACGTACATATTTTTTATCAGGTGATATGCGTTTTATTGACAAAAAAAAGGACAAATTGATTCTATTTTTTTCCTTGGCTGCGATGAGCACGGTTTCAGTAAGAACGTTCTCACTTTTCAAAGAACTGCTTCACTTTAAAAACTTTCCAATCTTCAAGCAATAATCTGTGTTCTTAGAGCTTTTTGAAGTAGACACCGGTAAACTCTATAACTACATGAAGGTCGAGCAGCATTTTTCTCGATGAGAGTGAAATGTCTCATTGGGATCTGGTTTGTAGATCAAAATTCATGAGACAGTTGAGATATTTTCTCTAAGAAAGATACGTACTTTAACTGCCATACGATCTTCAGGTAGACCTTTAATGGTGGTTAGATGAACTGAACCGAAGTTTCCTTTGTCGAATATTGGAATATTTTTAAACTGTTCAACGTTGACTGAAATGATTTTATCGTCATAGATGAATTCAGTTGAAACTTCGGATACTTTCGATCTAAAAGCAGTCTTGAAAAATATTTATTTTTGTCGATTAAAATATTTTACACGTAGTCGTTCGGCTCGTTGAGTTGCATTTCTATATGAGCGGGAAACTTGATACAATTCGGCTTCCCTAAAAATGAATGATACATCATTTTTTAAGTAGAAATAAAAAAAATAAATGTGATGGCCTTCACCTTCTAGATTTTTGTTGACTAATTGCGAGAACTATGTGTAACATTTTTTCCTTTTTCGTGCTTCCTTACTTGCTTTTATTCAACATCCGAATACATTTCTCTCTTCTTTTTTCTATATTAGAACTCTCCGCATGGAGAAGGAGAGGAGGGTAGTGATATTCAATTCGTAGTTATCTGTTTAGGAGAGAGATATGGGGTGATTAGTCTCAATATAGCTAACAAATAGTTTCAAATTGAAGTTCTTCTACACAAGATGTAATTATGAAAAAGAAAATTACTTAATTATTGAAATTTCGGCTTTGTTGTCCGTCTCTTATCTATGATATAATAAGAACGACTTTAAAACTTTTACTAACTAGTCTTATAGAATACGAAGTTAGCAACAGAATATATCATAGCATCTTTATTTTCGACTGCGTTGAAGTAACTAGACAGTTCATTTTGTTAGAAGACATATGCTTCAAAGATTTATAAAAAACCTGTATATACTTATTTTCTGATAGAGAAATTCGACTGACATTAGACAGTATATTATCGCGTTTGTGAAAATCTGAGCATGCCTCTCAATAAATAAAATCGAAAGGCTTTCGTCTTATGATTACTGCTTATAGCGGATTATTCATTTCTCGGTTTTTTCTTGTGTGCCTTGTTGAATATTAAAGAGGTGCAAGGAAATCTAGAGATTTTTTACATTCAAGTTGCTGAAAGCGAGAAAAGATTCTAAAATCAAGCTTTAATTGACGGTGAAGCAGGATCCATATTCCTTGAGCAAACTGCTTCCTTTGTGCAATGTTATCTAGGAGGCAAACTGTAGCAAAGGAGAACCAGGAAGAGTATTTCTATAAAAAAAAGCCGTCATTGAAAATCCGATTTTACTTTCTTCAAGAAAGAAGTTATATGATGTTCATTTCTTACATTCGACTTAATACTATGGTATTTTATAATTTTCTCATTATTGATCAATCTTTAAATCAATAAAATAAATTTAAATATAAAATGTAATCAAATGAAATAAATCCATAAAGTTAACAAGCTCAATTTTAATTTTTTGAAAGTTGTATCATTGTATTCGAATTTTAATCGAAGAATAATCAATTAATATCTAGTTTTGCAAAGTTTTCTGTCACTAAGGAAGTGAAAATTAGGGATGCGCCCATATCAATCCATAGGATTGATCGGAATTGGTTTGAAATTGGTCTTGAAAAACTTCGAACGGAATTATTAATTCATGTGATTATGTACAAAATTAGTAATTGTACAACAATTGATTCTGACTAATTCCAACTCAAGAATTGAAATTGATCTATCTCTAGAGGAAATCAACGTCTAAGCGTTTGAATCCTGAAGATAGTATTAAGAAGAATTGTACCTCGTTTATGTTGAACAGTCTTGACTGGAATTAATACATTTTTTGGCACCGTCGTTTGTTCTGTGAGCAGGATTCGACGATCAATGTTGATATTGTTTCGCTGGTCGATATCAATGAAAACTTGTTGACGCTTCTGATCTTTGCGATTGGTAACCTGTTCGACTCCACTGCCTAAATCAGATAAAATATTGACGTTTTTTTCTATACAAGGAACTTCATGCTAAGTTCACCTAATTCCGATAGCTGTGGAATTACAGCAAGTGATGTAGGAACGACGTTGCCAGAAAGCGCTAGTTCTTTCTCAATATTGGCATTATTGACCAATTGTTTCACATATTGTGTTTTCTTAGCTAAAATTAATGAGATAGACAAACATGTTATTTCGTGACATCTTGACGCAAAAATCTTCGTATTAGACTTACGGAAATCTGCCGTTTGCTGATCGCACAATTCTTTGAAAGACGTTTGAAGTTCATGTTTAGAAGAAGTGTTCGGTTCTATGCATTCTTCATTAGGGTTGCTGTCGTTAAACGGCTGCTGTTGTTGTAAATGGTCCATAGAATTATTGGTGTAAGTCTTTTTATTTTATCTGAAAATAGATTCGTTTGAAAATGAGACTCTACGATACATATCACATTAATTAGCTTTGTTGTCCTGAATGACTAACTAGAGTTGAGCTGGTGTTTCAATTTTTCTTCGATAGTCCTACCAAACATTTTCCTATTACAGCTATGACTTTCAATGTCCGATTCGGCGTGAGCTTCAAATTTATACTTTCCTTTATTCAGACGCTGAACACTTGTTTTATCTTCGTCACAAAAACAGTTTACGAGACACTTTTGCAGCATAAGCCTATTTTCTTTATACCGATCGGGTTAATTCTTTTATTTCACCGTCAAATGAAAACTCAGTAATAAACTAAGGCGTTGGATTTTTTTTTTGATGAGTTGCATAGCGCAGTTTCATATGCATACTTTTGAAAAATAAAACAAAAATAAACAGAAAAGGACTTTAAGTCTTTTCAATTCATTTTTCTTCGAAGAAATTCTTTTCTGTGGATTTTGCTTCCCACCTTCGCAAAGAACACGCTATATCGATAATTAACTCGTCAAGGAGGTTTTTTCGTGTGCGTCTTGATATTCAGATAACAAACATAAATAAAAAATATTTTAACTAATACTTATATATGCGTCCCTTTGAATATGGATCTAACGCCATGAAAAAAAAAGGTAGATAAGAAAGAGGTGAATATAGTCAGAAATAAAGACAAGAGATGAAAGCTAAAATGTGTATACCCCAAGGAATCAATAGCGGAATTCGGAGATTCAGAATTCTCAATATTTCTAGAATTCCGTCAATTTCCATGGAATTTCTCAGAATCCCATAAGATTTCTTTGAATTCTGTAGAGTTTCCTAGGATTCCATGAAATTCCTTTAGATTCGACAGCATTCCTAAGCATTCTCAGTAAGCTCCGAAGAGACTATAGAGAATAGCTATCTATGTCACAATAGCTTTTCATATTGGTATCTCGTTTTCCTTTTTTCTTCATTCGTGACCATCGATATATGCACATATCGGTGACTAGCTAATTGTATTCGGTTGAATGGTGGTTCTTAGGGTTGCTTTATCTTCGCTCCAAGCACAGCAACTGAACCTGTTTCTTTATTAATCTATCAATAAATTCAGAACAATTTATTCTAACAGAGCTCTAAATACATAGTAGCATCAAGGAGTTTCTTTACTAATCATTAAAATTGACATGTTTCGATATTAATGATCATCTAATTAGCATAATAGTATTCAGAAATGTTCAAATCGTTTTTTATTCAATTTTACTTGCTTCGATAACTTGTAATAATCTCTTAGTCGATGGACGCTAAGATTTCTCAGTCAATAACCGTGAGACTGACCATTTTTGTGAAAATTTATTGAGATTATTAAGTTTTAGTTTGTAATATGAGTGTGGCTGTGAATGTGCATGGATGTAGACAAGAGCCACGTCTACACTTACACCCTCCTCTTTGTTTTTCAATATGTACCGTAGCGATGTTTATTTGTACATTATAAGCTTCCTATTTAGGTACTTAGATTCAAGATTTTTTTTTCTTTTTACTGTTTATATATGCATGAAATTGTATTCAAGTAGTAGTGGTATCATCGCCATTTCTCCTATTCTTATCGTGGCATTTTTAAAAGCTTTTATTTTTAAGGATTTATTGCTGTATTTTGATACTTATTTGCTATATTCTATTCTGTTGTATGTTTACTATTCATAATATGAAATATACATTAGAAGATATAAATTTGCCTGCTTAATTCGAAAGAAGAGCTCTCATGCTCTACATCTTGATGTGCTATTTCCAACAAAATAAGTCATGGATTACAATGAAGCTTCTTCAAGAGTTCTGGAATGCACAATAAAAAGACCATAAAATCATAAACTAAGAAAAAGCGAAAACGATTTTCTAATTTTGCTGGAAAAAACATATATTCTTTAAGCAGAAAATGATGGAATTTCTGGAAAAAACAAGGTTCCAAATCAGAAGTCATATCATTTATGAAAGACCAAACA